GCGCCATCTGTTGGACGATGTTGCTGGTAAAAGGCAAGTGCTGCCTGCAGGACCTACACACACACACCAATGCACAAAGCAAACATGTGCACTTGAAGAAAAAATTGACATACATTTTTTAAAGTAATATTTTGAAGATAAGTTTATGCCTTGAGTTTTATTGAATTTTTTTTTTTATTTTAAATTAAATATAATAATTAATAATTTATTGCATCCTTTTCTTTTGTGTACAAAAGGCACATGGACCTGACTTGCATTGCTGTTGCATGATGAAGAGCAAATGTCAGGACGAAAGGTCACCGAACCCAGGTGCCACAAGCCACAGGGCTGGGCGGTGCCAACTGACACAACATAATCATGATAAAAGCCCCGCACAAACATTAAACCCATGACGGCCCTCCGCCTCTCCTGTAAAGAGGGTGTATCCCGTGTCAGCGGGTGGGCTTTAAATTACAGAATTTAATTAATTTCGCAGAGATTTTTCATCGGTCGCAGCGCACTTGACTTTGTACTTTTGACTCATCTCCGTTTGCTCTTTTTTCCGCCACTAATTTCCCCATCATCTGCGGTTGAGTCGCTTTCCTGGGAGTCGGTCGGAACTTGAGTTTTCGACAGTGTCTGTGTGTGCCACATGTGTGTGGCAGAGTCCTAGCGGGGCTTCTCCATTACCATTGCCACTACCACTACAAATCCACTTCCCATTTCACATCCACTTCCATTTTAATTTTCATTTTAATTTTAATTAATTTCAATGCATGTGTGGCAGCTGTGACTGTCGCTCGCCGAGAGTCCTGGGATGGGCCTTGAAGGCACTCAAGCAGTAGCCAAAATGATTATGAGTAATTAGTTTTAATGGGCTCGAAGCCTGTGCCCGACCCAGCTGCAGAATGTGACACCCCGGCCAGGTCCTTAAAATCGCCAGGTAACTACGTTTTTGGACAGATTGCTTTTCAACTCAAGTGGCTAGATGGGATTACTTTTCCATCCTTCCAAATGGCAAAGTTCGTAAAGCTTTAAATAAAATATAAAGGTCACAATTTATGATTCGCATGTGTGTTTGCCAAGGACATTCCTTTTTGAATTACAATTATTTTATCATCCTAATTAGATGGAATAATTTATGAATTCGGTGTGGCTGTTATTGCTGGGAAAGCCACAATTTCGCATACAATGTTTTTGTTAAACCAAAAAGCAAATAATATTTACAATGCCCATAATGAATGTTAAATAAATGCTAATTTATTAAAGCAGATTTATTCAATTTATAAAACTATAATCAGGTATTTAAAGGGGTAACCGATGCGACTTGAGTCGTTTTTTTAAAAACAAAGTCGTAAATCAATACCAATTTGTGCGAAAAATTTGTGCAAAACTGACATTTTTCTGTCTCTTCGCAAATAGATAAGTGTCAACCAAATATTTACAAGGATTCCAACGTCGACCACACACACACACACACACACAAAGGACACTCAAAAGGAAAATGGTGGAAAATTCACAGATTGAGAGGGAAAATCGAATCATGGGAATCAGAGCTTCGAATATTAAGCGGAAAGTCAATTTCGGGACTCGCACAAACAAGCATATATGTCCGTATGTGTCTATATATGCGAGTATATACATTTATGTATATATTTTTGAAGAAAAATTGAGAAAATTGCAAAAACAGAGAATAATTTTCTTTTGTTTTTTTGGTGGAACGAGTACTACAATACAAAATTTAATGGTGCGCAAATTTTGATTGTTTTACTTTGAAAATGGAAGTTTCCTTTTTTCCTCCTTTTTCCTTTTTTTTGTTTTTGTGCTTTTTTTTGTTCAGATTTTTGCTTTTGTTGTTGTTGTTCCACTTTGTTTGCATTTCGCTATTTATTTATTTCGCAATGCTTTGAATTCGTTTTCCCGCATTTTATGCATATTTCAGAATCAAATATTTTTCCTCCGGTATTTGCTTTGGCTGGTCCTGCGCTCTTACTTATTTGTTTAGCTGCGGGCCCTCATTTCTATACATTTAGTTTTTCCCTCTTCGAGTAACACATAAAACCTCCACCACCCCCTAAAAGACAGGATATAGAGAAAACCAAAAACTGGAGGGCCTTCAGGTGGTTTTTCTTTCTATGATCATTCCATTTCACCTTTTTCATTGAGAAGGCGAGCCAAGAAAGTTGTTGTCAATGTAATTTGATTCTCATTCCAAGTTGGCCCACATTTCCAGCTTCCTTTTTAACCCCCGGAGAGGTCCTTGTGATTGCGTATACGCTCCGTTGGACAAAAAGCAAATTGTAATTAGACGCAGAGGCCGAACAGCCGGCTGACATGCGTGGGGAAAACAATAGACCGAACAGGTCATCAAAAGACTGACATAAAGTACCCTGGAAATAATAGCCAATAGTCCTTCTAACAAAGCCCAAGCAGGCTATTGTTATTTTTATTTCATTCTAAATTTCCTGTTTTATGTCACTTTTCTATTTAACTTCGAATATCATTTCAGACATATTTTAAATTTCAGAACAACGTCCTCACCATCGAAAAAACACTCAGCTAGCGGTAAGCTACTCAATTTTAATATTTTGGCAGCATTGGTTATAGTTCGGTTTTATATTTATTACAGCTTGGAAAATGTTTAACACACCAGTGACTGGCTCCTGTGCCGATGGGAGTGAAGAGGCAGCTGCAGCTGAAACTGCAACAGCAATGCCTGACGATGACGGCGAATTGAATCTCAATATTCCGCGTCCTGTTTTGAAACTCCAGCCATGCGAAGGCACTGGTCTGGGACAGGATGCGGCGAGCACCCTGGCAACCAACTTGAAGGCATCCTTTGAAGTGCCCACCTGGCCACTCGATAATCTTTTTCCCTCCATCGACATTATAGAGAGGTTGCGTAAGCAGAGTGAGGTAAAGGACCTGCCATCGTTCCAACGTGGTCTCTGGGATTTGCCATTCGCCGGCGTACTGGACACATCATCAGGCCAACTCGACTCTGAGCTGGAATCGAAATGTTGTTTCCCAACTCCCTACTTTATACCCGAGTTGGAAAAGCTGTCTGCCGACTCGGTGCAGGATAAGCTCACGGTTGGGTTGGAAACAACAAGGGCTTCAGCTATCGAAGCACATAAAGCCACTGCTGTTGAAGAATCAAATTTGCCAGGGACGGAAGACTCTACTCTACACAAAAGCGAAGAAGAAAGTATTTTAGGAATCCAAGAAACTAATCCTAACCAAATTGAAAACGAAGCAATGAATTCTCCAAAAGTTGAATCCATTTATTCGTCAAAATCCGAGGATAATATTTTGCCAAAAGTTAATGAAGATAACTTACCGAATATAGAGGAAATAAATCTACCAAAAAAAGAGGAAAATTTTTCATTAAAACAAGAGGAGATAAATATTCCTAAAATCGGAGAAATATATTCGTCCAAGATCGATGAATCCATTGCTGTCGAGATCCTGCCTCCAAATTCCCCTCAAATGCTTCAACACGATCCCGTTTTATTACCAGGAATTCTACCAGAGAAAAGGATCTTAATCTCACATCCTTTACCGCTCCAAGACGGTCAGCTTTGTGAGGTCCTAGTGGAGGAACCCAAACTTTCTCAAAGAATGGGTTTTATTAGATCCCTAGTTGGAGGCAAGCCGTTGTTGAAGCCCAGTATTCGACTTTCCTTTGGCGATCGAAAGATGAGAAAACAGATTGATTCCGATTCAAAGGAGGCTCTCAAGCAGAACACCTGCGCAGTCCTCAAGTCTCTAATATTTAGCATTAAATTGGCCAAAAAAATTGATACAACTATTTCGGGTATGTAGACGATGTCGGTGTCTGTAAATTGTAAATAAAAAAATTATATATTATTTTAGCAAAAATGAATGAAAGAAGGCAATTAAAAATGGATAAAAAGAGGAATTCGCTGACTTATTCCCATGTATTCCGGAAGAATATTTTTCGGCTCAACGCAGCTGCCCAGAATCTCAGGGAGGAGAACATCAAATGCTGTGGGGATGTGCCCAGCATAATGCCAGTTCCTACGAAACCGGAGCAGCCCGACTTGAATCGCATAGATGCCAGCGAAGGATTATCCTGTCGCGGACTCAGTGCCAGCAAGGACTCTGTGCTCAGTGACAGCTGTGAAAGTGACGATTCGTTCGACCAGAACAAGAGCGAACTGGTACCTCTGCGTAAGGTGACAGCCATGATCGATCCCCGGCAAATCGAGGAGATGGGAAGAAGGGCGTTCAGTCAGTATGTGAAGCTATATTGCTTCAACAGCTTTAAGGAGTGGAAGAGGCAAGGTAATTCAGCAGCTTCCCACGTGAGTCCTTACAGTATGCTTCCCTCATCCTTCGCAGGCGAGGGCAAGATCGAGATCTGGGACTTTCAAGCCAAATTCTATATTATCCTGCGCGACGAGAGCGAGGGCGAGCTACTGCTCCACATGAACGTGGATGAGCAGTGGACCATCGAGTACATGTCCAACAACTCGTATAGCTGCCGCTGGACAAACTTCAACTACGCCACCAGTCGGGACGGTATCCTGGAGCGGATTGCCTGCATCTTCCGGCAGCCCAGTCATGCCGCCGAGTTTGTCGCCCGGATCCGCCACTGCGCCATACGCTCCCGATCGGAGTAGTACTATCCTAGAATATCGTTTTAAGAACCCTTCGCGTTCTTCATTTTCCGGCATTCTTCCAGTTTCTGCATTTCGTAATTCCTTCGTTTTGAGTTCAAGGACACCCCCGACCACTGAAATCTTTCGAAAAATTATTGTAATAAATTTAACAATACTTTGTAAACCATGAAAATTATACCATTCAAAATTTATTAAGTTAATTATATATATTTTTTATTCTTGTTTGAATGTTTTTATGTTTTTTGTTGTTGTTAGCAACCATGGAAGCTCTTTGATGGCCAAATGGTTGCCACAATAAGCTCCCATATCGATCCAACAACCCAGCAAGGCGTCTGTAGTTTGAATAAACTTATTCGAGTCTTATTTGAGACTGTAAACCGCTTAGATGAAGCCATGGAATCCGACAAGCTGAACGAGTTGAACCGGCAAATAAATGAAATCAAAAAGCGGATTCTACTGGCAGGTAAGTGCCACAAACTAGCTTTTGTTTTTTGGTTAAGAGACCAACTTCCACAGAGGGCCAGAAGACGGCCAATGCGGCCGAATGGCAGAAGCAGAACCGCATCAACTGCGACACCATCGGAACTCTGAAAAAGGACATCAAGGAGCTGACGGTGAAGGCGAGTCGCCTGCGAAATCCTCTCCAGCGTCCAGTTGTCATCAAGGAGGGCGCCTCATCTGGCGGCGGGGAGAACCGAAGGGCCCATAGCTGCACACCCACTTTGATTGTGGGCAAGGCCACTTATCCTGTCGGAGCCAAGAATGCTGAAGATGCTATTTTTCTGACCGATCTGAAAATCACAGAGAGCAGGAAGCAATTAGATCTTCTCAGACACAAGTTCAAGTCCCGGCAGCAGCACTTTAGCCGGCTGGTAGAGAAGTATCGGGGTCTTTTGGCCAACAAGGAGGCACAGAACCAAAATCTAGGCGAGAAACCTCCGGAAACACTCGAGGAAGATGCCAACAGAAAGCTGGTGTGCCAGCTGGAGAACGAGATTCATCGCACTAATGTCCAGTGGATGGAGGCGGAACACATCCGTAAGAAGTACCGCTCCATCGAAGCTTCTCTGATGACCGATGCCGAGCGTTTCGAGCGCAGTCTTCGGGAGCTGGAGGCTTCTCTGAGTGACCAGAAAGCCGAGATCGAGCGGTTGCAGCAGGTTCACAACGAAGCAGTCGAAATGCGAGACGCCGCCAAGGTGATTTTGCAGCGACAGGAGCAGCAGGCCAATCTCTCGCAGAAGACACGTGAACGCCAAGCTCTGGACTTTCGCAAGCAGGTGGAAGCCCGCAAGCTGGAGCTTGAAAGGATTGGTCGCAAGCTATTTGCAGAGACAAAGACACTAGTTCATCAGGACAGTGTGGGCTCAAGTTCGGGTGACCAGCACACGGCCAAGACGGAGAACGGCGAGGAGGAGCCGGTGTCTCAGCTGGAGAGTGTAACCAGTGACATGGAATCGCTGTTCAAGCAGCTCATGGAGGCCTCCGGAGCCACCTCTCCATTCGAGGTTTTCGAGAGGTTCAGTGCCCAGAAGGAGTCCGCTGCCAGGCTGAATTATCTGAGAAAGGCAGCCGAGGCAGAGAAGGCCAATCTGGAGGCGGAGCGAGAGGCTCTAACCAGCGAGCTGGAGGCCTCCAAGTTCTCGGACGTCAAGGAGAGTGAAGTGTAAGTGCAGGATATGTTTTAGTGGTTCTATGATCATTTTATGTATATTCTTTACAGGAATCAAGAAGTCATCGAACAGATCAAGAACAGCATTGCGGCCAAGGAGCAGGATCGCAAGCTAGACACTGACGAGGCGGACAAATCGATGGGTGTTCTCAAGTATCTCAAGGAACGTATCTGCGAGATGATTTTCAAGGTTCAGGAAGTGGACGAAAGCAATATTGAGATACTAGAACGGAAACTCCACGTAAGCGTGGCAGAGCTACCAAATTTTCTGGCCCATACCGCCCAAGATGAGGACTTGATTGAGGTAATGTAGGAATAAAGATTTTCATTTAACAGAAAATTAAATAAAATCTGGTTTAGATTCTCAAATTGAAGATCAAACGCTGCCAGGAGCTGAGCAAGTCCGAGGACGTGCCACCCTTTGAGATACCCAAGCTGGACATTGTAGAGGAGGAGGACGAGGAAATGTACAAGGCGGAGCAGCCCAAGTCGCCGTCCGCCCCGGAGGGCGAGAAACCGCAACCCATGCCCATGTGCTACTACAATCTCTTTGCCGGACGAGCCCAAAGGGCCGCCGGCACATCCTCTTCCTCGCCGGAGCAGGCCCCAGCGGCTGGTAAGAAGCCTAGAATCGAATTTTCTACATGGCCTGCAAGTGTTTTCCATCTAATGTTTTCCAGTGGCCACCACAGATGACGATAATGAAGTCCCATCACGTAACTTCCTTAAGCGACAATCTGTGCTCATTGTGGATTCCAAATCCAGGCGAAAGCCCTTCCGACCAGCTCCTGGGGGAAGGCGCAAGTAATTGGATTTGGATGAGTTATCAATACTGCCACATTGTATCTCTTTATTGAAATTAAAATTCATAAGAACATCCTTTCTAGTAAAAGTTCATCCTTCACTCCCAAAAAAGGACAAGTTATAGACTCCCAGAATGAGTACGACAAATTCTGTTTAATTAATGAAATTTCCAGAATGTCCTTTTCCCTTGTTGGTCGTACTTTATGGGGACTATATACTCGTATATTCAAGGCTGGAATATCAAACAAAAAAAAAAAGGGGAGACTGCATTGCAGTTACTTATTGCCCAGGGGCGATTTAATATCTGAGGCAGCATCCTCTGCATATTCCTTCTACTTACTGCAGTTGCTGGATAAATGTCAGCAGCTTCAGTCAAACGACATAACAAATAGCTGTCCTGCGATGCATCTACGCTACGACAAGGACGACGGATCGCCTGGTCTGGGAAGGATGGACTGGGTAAACAGAATTTACTGTTCCAAGAAGGACTACGACTAGGATGGCAGGGATATTCTCAAAGGGAGAGGGGCCTGTTGGCAAATGAAGTGCAAAACGGAACAAAATGCGGACCGCGGCTGCTCTAAGAGAAATAACCTTTCAAAAATTGTTTACACCACTTTTAAACAGTGGTTCTAAAACAAGAGTTTAAGAAAATCTATAGGAACATTATTTTTTAATTTAAGAGATAACTTTTCAAGTGGTATGATGCTTTTAAAAGCATCTTTTCTCTTCAGAGTTTAAAATAACAAAGATATTTTCTTTAGGCTGTCCAGGACTTTTAGATTTCCACTTAAGCTATTATTGATATAGCAATTATATTTTATAAATAGAATCCTGTATCAAAAACCTTTTCAAAATGAATTTCCGGCTACTGTATCCTTCAGAGCATCATTTTGCAGAACAGAATGGACATTCTGGCTTTTCTAGTTAGCAACAATAACGCGCACCAGCTGACGATGAACAATCGGGAGGACTATAGGAGGATATAGGGAGCTGGGCAGGACTTGGGTGGAGATGTGTAAACAAAGATGCCGATGATCCATGGCCAGGGCCTGTTGCCGGAAGAGGACAAGGACAACGAAGGAGCTGTATCTGTGTGTGTGTGTGTGGTGTGTGTCAACTAAATGTCAACAACGAGGACATAAACCACAGCAGACGCATACAAACAGAGCCCAGGCTGGGAAGATGGAAAAACCAGAGGAGTAGCAGCTAGAGGAGCATTCAAGAAGGGCAAACTTCCATTGACGATTCCTGGAGCATCCAAAGAAGGTGGCTCGAGTCAACCAGTTGGAAAAACAAAAGCATAGCCCATCATAGCCTTCGGGCTAAGGAGCGTTAAAGTTACGGAAGGAGCAGAGTCTGTGACTATGGCAGTGGCAGTGGCATTGGCCCTGACTGCATTGAATAAAACCAGGCCCGGGATCCGGAGGGGTCTTGGCTTTATGCGGTTTTCACTGTCATCGCATAGAAAACGCTTCAGCTTCGGAATGTCGCGGCCTGCGGTTGATGTTGGTGGCCCATTGAATTGCATTGCTTGCTCCTCCGGGTCGCCACCAGGACCTCCTCCACCACCTCTCGCAGTGGTTTCATCCGGTGGCGACCCTTTGTCCGCCACTGGTTGCGTTGGTTAAATGAATATGAATTATTTTTAAAATGGGTCTGGGAGGAAAAGGCTAAAGAATTCTCATCTAAACGAGAAAATTTTCTATGAAAATTAATAAAAATACAAGAGGGTCTTGGAATTAATGGAGCAAGACTTTAAGAATGAAGGTTAGTGTATAATATTTAAGATGAAACAGAGAACTCAATTTTATCCTAAGGTAGAACACAACTTCTGCAATAAATAAACTATTAGTGGGATTATTGCCAGACCTATTAGTCTCTCAATGCTCCATCAAAAGTATATATTCTTTTTGAAATTAATTTTCGAACCAAGCAGATAAATGTAAGTGCGGAGTTAGATGGAAGATTACATAAATTTTCCCATTAAACTGGCTTAGCCTCGTTTTTTCCTTCTTTTACTTTGTCATAGAAAGTTTTCGCGGCGTCGGAGTCGGAAGGGCAACTTTCTTCTGCCTCCCGATTTGCGGGATGGCCTCCATCCAGAGTTAAACACAAAGCCGAAAAGTCCTCTACAGCAATTACTAAACTCTAATCCCTGGAGTACGCCATCTGGGTAATCCCCAAAACCACAATTGAGGGCGAAGACCTTAAAGGGAATTAGCTAATTAAAGGTAAGTGATGGCGGAACCAAAACGGCTTACTGCCTTCAAGTCGGGGCCTCCAGTTGGGCTACATCGTGTTTAATTGGATAGTCACGACTTTTATCCTGCCATTAATTCCCCCCAAGCCCATGCTCATCTCCATCTCGTCCTCTACGCCCTTTTTCGGGCCACACCCACTTTTAAGGCAATTAAGCGATTCAATCTCTCGCCAAGGCCGTTAATCAAACGCCCATCGATTCGCAAGACAACGCTACTAATTTTAAGCCCATCGACTATAGGTGGGCGTGGCAGGATATTTGGAAGCAGGGCCCGGTGCAGGGCGAGCTGAGGTGGAGGTGGGCCGGACGGGGACAGGACGCCTGGCAACCGCAAACAATAAATTTGAATTTCTGCTGCCGCCGCGGAAAAACTTTTTAACTGAGCAGCCAACTACAGTGGCAGGAGAAAAACTTTACACAGAAAGAAATAAAAGGTAATATTAGTTATGGTTGAAAGAAAATAAGTAGATCAAATATGTATTTTACTTTCATTTATCTTATGTCGTATGAAAAACTATTACTTTCTTTATAAAAGTCAACTATTTCCCTACTTTCTTTCACTACATGTATGTGTGCGCTTGACAGTGGCCCAAATAAATGAGCGGATACGGAAACGGTTTGGCCAATGTCGCGCTTTCTTTCCCTCCATCACCCGTCTCACCCTCTCTCCTCACTCTGCACTTTCTCCTCCTATATGTGTGTATCCTGTCGTCCTGGGTCGCCACTCGGCGAATGATAAATAACGTAATTTCTTTACAACTTTTCATTCAAATTTTTGCTACTTTTAACCGCACCTCCACTCCCATCCGCCTCTTGTTAAGTAAAATAAATTGCGATTCGGTGTAATAAAAGTCAATCATAATAATTCAATGACGCGACGTATTGTTGTGCCACGTCACTGCGTTGCCAGCCACGTCCACCCCAGCATGTGCCCCAAAAGTCACCCAGCCATCACCCACTGGGCTTTCATAAATAAATACGTATTTGAAGACCGAGAAATATTTGAATATTTTCGTTGATTCATTTGAGTTACGGGCACGGGGGAAATTTCAACTGAAGATGTCACTTGTGAATGCGAAATCCTCTCTGGTGCTCGACGGGATGGAAAAGCACCAAGAGGAGGCACTTATCGTAATTAGCCATCATTAGGCATTCTTATCAATCAGATCTGACAAGAATCAACATTTTTTGAATATTCATACAAAGTTTTGTTTCGCTTTTTTGCTACTGTGAGTTTTTATTATTAAAAAGTTAATTACTATTTGTAATTAGATTTGGTTTTAAATAAAATGTAAGTTAAAGAACAAACAGAGAACTTCGCCCCAGTGAGAAAAAAAACATTTTTCATCATAAATCTCACTGAAGTCCTGACCTCATCCGGGTTGGTTTTTGTTTGCCAACCTCTGCCTTCTTTTCTTTCTTTTTTTGGGGGTTTTTTTCGGAGAAAGTATTTTCTGTTAAAAGTAGAAAAGGAAGCTTCTGGTGCAGACAATTTCCATTTTTTTACTAGACTACTGAAGCATGAGCCATTAATTATGAGCAAGTCAATATGAGTTTAAAGTCGATGGGGGTTTCATGAAATTTAAGGGTCATTCTTTGGAGGAATACATAAAAGCTCCTTCTATTTATAATTAATGTTTAACCATTCATGTAACAAACTCTATGGTTTGGAAATACCACTCCACACTGACCCTTTATCTCATCAAAGTAGGGATACTTATCAGGGCACTTCTCCGATCTGATAGAGCTTTGATTGTGACAGACCGTATACTCGCGACATCCTGTATTTAAGGTGGTCACAAAGGACTTTCTATGGTTTTTACACCTGTCGTAAGAACAGCTATTTTCCTCTGGAGGAGCACACTTTTGTAGCCACCAAACAAAGTGACTGCCAACTGGACAGCTGCTCCACTTTCCCAAATCGAACTGGGAAGTGCAGGTGTAATAGCCGTAGCAGGTCGTCATATCCGGGATTTTCTGCTCGCCCAATTGATCCACCTGGTAGTACTTGGAGCATATGTGGGAGTCCTTGGGCGATGGGGAATCTAGATGAGATTCTTCTACTCTGGAGCACCTTTCTGGCAGCCAGGACTGACAGTGACCCGATTCGCGGTTGAAATATCGATCCGCAGAGCAGTTCATCTTTGTGGCGAATCCATTGTAACACTTAAAGTAGTATTTGCAGGAGCTTGGATGAGCCATGAGAGCGTTGTCCACCATGTTGGAGCAGATGTTGTCCTGGGGGCATCCTGAGACCTCCTGAATGCATTTTTGTTCCACATTGCTGAACACCTGATCCTCCCCACACTTACTCCATATGGGGTCTTCGATGGACATGCACTTTACAAATCTCTGGCAATCTGCAGGATTGGCAACATAGTCCTCCGGTTTCATACTGGCACAAATCTCATCAAGATCTGAATAGCACATTGCTTTTCCTTTTTTTTTACAAGTGCCATCCCGGAAATTATAGAATAATCCATCAATGCAGTTTTTCCGTTCAATTAGTTTGTTCTTTTCACAAAAACCCCAGCCGCGACAGTCGCTGGGATCACCCATATATCCACTTCCAGACCACAAATTGCACTTGTGCTCCATGGTAAAGCCACGACCATCGACCTCGGCCAGCCAAAGGCCTAAAAGTATCCCCAAGTAGCAGCCACATTGAAAAACTGCAGTAAGTCTTTAGTTACTTCCACAAGAAGCCACAACTTTTTCGCTTTTAGTACCTTTCATTTTTT